AGCAAAACTCATTTAAGCCGTCCTGCAAGAGCCTGAATTGGAGGTTCTTTGCATTTCCTAAATTCTTCACCCTCGCGTCAAGTAATTGCTATACTTTTCTATCACAGACAAATAAGACTCATAGTAGCACTTACGTTTGAAGTTTGAAACTAGCTGGGCAAGTTTTTCAATATGAGGCCTAAGAATTATTGGAAAGACGAAGTAAATAAATAAGGTCATGGAGAAATTTGTTATTAGAGTTTGGATAAAGAGCTGAATAGCTGATAAAAGACACATAATTTTTTGGTTAATCGCGTCTCTTACTTACGCTTCATTGCTTCATTGGCGTGTTATCAAATCAGATCTTTTTTATCATGAATTCATTTCATTAACAGCATACAAACGCCTCTGTAGGTGCTTGGGCCACTACAGTGACTGAAGTGACCTTTTTTTCGTAAATTTAAACATTGCATAAGCGATTTTCCCGTCCGTCTTCCAACGAAGTATCCTGTCTCCTGATTTGCGTTAATATGTTCTAGATGGAAACCACTTGCCATTTAAATTACCTTTACGCCTAAAAAATTACATTCTTAGAACAATTCTAATATATAAGAAACAAAATATATTTGGGCATCAGGTCAGGGGTAAAATATTCGTTACATATTACTGACTCTTAAGTCTTTTTCTTTAAACAAAGTACAGTTTGAGAAAAACCTGGAAATAGAGTAACTTCCGAGGTATACGATTCAAAATATCTGCGTGACGTTCAGCTGACTTGAACAAAGCTAGTATCAGAAAAAAAAATACTGGGAAGAGAGCTTTCATGACTTTATTTTTTTCCACCTCAGCCAGATTTATTTTTATCGCTTTTATCCTGTTTGCCTTTCCCCAAGCGACGTTCCTTTGTATCCTACAGTACCTGTTTTAGGTACCACCACCTTTTAATACTTATGATGGTAATATTGCAGTTGTTTCTTGGGGTTAGACCATGAATAAATGCCATTAATGTGTAGGTGATATCAACGGTTTGGCGACAAATGAAAAATCCTTAAAGGCAGTCCTTGTTGTAGACCGTTCTAGGCAAGTACTAACTAAAACATCGAAAAAGCAAAAGAAGTCCTTCTGGGGATTAGCCAAATTGCTGCTAGGAAGCTTGCACAAGAGTTAGATGTTTTACACTAGCTATGTTAGGCACTTGGAACCAGGAAGGTTCACATAAAAATTCGAACGATTACAAAACTTCAACGCATTCAAAATTGGGCGGGATTTCCTCCTACGTGTTGTTTAGGTGACGAAACTTGATATTCGAGTATGCGTGGAAATAAGTTAAATAGATGAAAACTGCAGAAAGTAAAAGTGATAAAACAAGCTTTTTTTAACCGTCTTGACTATTAGTGAGTGGCAATATATGAATATATGTTAAGCGGTTTAGCAGTCACTAAAGTGTACTATGAAAAAGTTTTGAGAAAATTGTACAATTCCATGCCTTAAAACAGGTCTCAGATCCGAGCAGCAAGTCGCGACTTCCTCATGCCAATAAAGCACCGGTTTAAAAGACGTTACTCATATGACATTTTTCCAAACCTCTGTGTGCACCAAATTGGGCTTTTTTCAATTTCTTTCCTTTTCAAGGTTCGAGAAACACTTGCAAGGCCTTGAGACGATTGAAGTGATTCAAAGAAAAGCTAGAGCAGACGCTCTCACGATAAAAGAAAAGACAATGGCACACGTGCATTTTGTCTGGCGCAGGCTACTTCGAAGGATTTGAATTTGGACAACTATGGTATATACAGTTGCTGTACGACCTGATTCTCTAGAAATACTTAAGGAATTTCCAACAATTTTTGCAAAAATTGCCATTGTATCTCTCACTCGCAAAAATGCGAAATATCTAACACTAACACGAAAATCGAATTTTACGCCTATGTTGCAGATTGCAAATTGCTCAGTAGTCTGCAACTTATGGAGCCTAGACCAACGCGATCACTGAAAGGTATAAACATGACAACGGTACCTCTGTTTCAATAGTATACTAAAAGTACCCGCATCTTTCGCTAATTTTATCATTGATTGAATTTATCCCCATATTTCGGCACAGGGACAACAATGAATACCCTGCAACACAATATAGTTTGAACACAAGTTTCCGCGTCGTCTTTGGCATCGTTAGTTGCGCTACAGATTTGTCGGACACAACACCGAACGGCCTGAAAAAAAATATTCCTTTTTCTTCCGTTTTATTTTCTTAATATATGTTTAAGCAACTCCTGGGAAAAGTACTTATTCAGTTAACTCAATCTCACCTCAAGACAAAACTTTACCAACTTCGAAAAATTAGATTCAAGCGACGCTCAATTTCAATCGAATAGCAAACAGGATAGATTCCCAGGCTTAGCTCAAATGCTACCCCTCTACTTATTTCTTCAATGAAAGAGAGAGAAAATGGCACAAAAATTCAATGAAATACATCAATTAGCGAATATGATCTTGTAAAAACTACTGTCATTCTCCCTTTCCAATAGGGCGATTTTTTTTTGTAATTGACGTGTCTTTGTTCAATAAATATTATGTACTACGTGAAAATAAGCAAAATGTACAAAGTACTACGTACATGTATTTCTACAAAATACTATGCACAACACAACATACCGAATTTGTGCGTCCGTTTGGGTAATAGGCTTAAAATAATGACGTTTCGACGTCGTAATTTGGCTACTCATATCCGCAATTACTTATTCGCATTAGAAATCTGTTATATAATCATTAACACGCGAAATAAATTCTGTGAGTGTGTATCACGTGAGTTTGAGTTTCGTGAAACTTATTGTAACAGTAACGCCTAAATAATCCAAAGAAATTAATTTCTCACTTCGCATTTTGTACACATGCAGACCTGTCTGATAAATTCTAAATAATTATTTATAAAATTTGTATTGGTGTCTCCAGGAACAGAGATACGAGTTTTTGCATAATTAGAAATATCGACGCTTGATATGCTTTACGCCTCACCGCTTTAACGTCACTGACTGATAATGATGATCTACATAGCCAATAAAGTAGAGAAACAGGTATAAATAGCTCATTAAGCAATACAACAAATATAAAGAGCACGTCAGTGTTTTCTCCTTAGCTGGATTCTGGAGTAGTCTGGGGAAGTCAAAGGTGCTCAGTGCTCTAGTGTCTCTGTCTTCCGTTCATTGCCCAGATATTCCACAACGACTGTAGTAAACGAACTAGCCATGTTGATCAAAAGGTAATTTTTGCATAGTATCGTAGTGCTCGTCACAATATTCTACATTGGGTTTCCAAAAGCATTTAGGCACTTTGAATCTGTTATTGCTTAATTTTACTAGCAAGCTATTACACATAACTCGAACGTTTTATTTTCTACAAGCCTATTTGTATCGTTTTCTCTGGCAATTTCGCTTGAAAAAATGAAGTTACCGAAGTTTAATCGATGCTTGTTTCATTTCATAAAATAAGATTGTATTGTTTAAAATATATGTTTTTGGTCTTTAATTAAACTTTACTTTTCACTTTTTATTCTTGTAGACTTTTATGATAAGTTTAAATTTTGCGTTACTTAATGTGAAAACTGTTAACCATTTACTTCATCGTAATGCTATTGTGCAGTGAATGATATTTTGCTCCGACATCAGACGCCAAAAATCAATGATCGAAATGCATTTTGGATACCTACCTTATTTGGCCTTTCTCTGAGAAAAATAAAGCTTTTGAGTTAGGCCGATATATCTGTGTGCGAGTGTACAGTAAGAATTTAAGAGGACTGGTCAGAGGGAATTTGCTACAATTTTTGGGGGAAAGGTTCCCGTTTTCCAGTGGGCTACCCGAGATTGATAAAGACCTCGGGTGCTAAAGAACTCTTAAATAAGCCGACAGGCTAAACTTCTAACTTTCGATAACCGTCAAAAATCATAGGTGTGCAGAATTCTATCAGCAATTAACAGTTTAAAAGCTCAATTGAATGAATGGCTCCTCATATACATTCACCATTTGACAAGGTACTGGCTAGCGCGCAATCACAGCGGCAGGTTTCTATGCAAAACTGTTACTGGGAATGAGAAGTAAAAAGGATGGGTAGTTCAGAGGGATACATCTAAAGTTAAAGTTAAGTCATACCTCCATCCTTAACAGGCCATGATTTACGTTTGGTGTAAACAGTTTATACATTTAGGAATACCTGTCGGAAAATGTGGGGAAAAAAGTGGGAAATGACGGTCAAACAGTATCCCGGTTCCATCGAGTACGACGAAAGCTATGTAATAGAGGGAACCCAACGCAAAGTCAAAGTCATGTTTTCACGCGACAATGGCAGGTCACTTATGGAAAAAGTGAGTACCGCGGCAAGAGTCTGAATGGGAGGTTTTCCGTGATAATTGTATTACCCGATTATATTTTTTCGATTAACGGCAACTGAAATTCGTAACCGTACATTTGGCAGTTAAGGGGGTCTCGAAACTTAACTGTACAATTTCTTCAAAACCGTGCTCAAAGGTTCCTAGCGAGAAGTAAAAAATCAATTGCTTGCGAGATCGAAGGAGGCCTTGGAGAGTGACGGAGAATACATAATGAATTCATTTGTTGCTAGCATTTCGGTGAAACGATGCGTTTTTTTATGAGCTAAAAAATTTTTTTTATCCCTGTACCAACTTAATACGTACATACGTCGCATTAAAAAAAAAACTAGCTTAATCGTATTTGTTGTTTACAGAACTTGTTGTTCAATAATTTTCCTGTTATCAAGACTGCGGGAAGTGAAACATTCTAGTTGGTGTATTCATAGCACATAATAGTTAGAGGAGTATAAACATTATCAACAATAAGCCCTACAACGAAATATGGTGTGGATCTTATTTCTCTATCTCGTTTAGCAGGCTCCAAATTTCGTTTCAAGCTTTTTTACGATTTTTTTTATACGAAATCGACGTTAATTTATTTGTAAGCTCCACCTTATTATCCTCGAGTTTTCAATGCTCTATAGAAACGCGAGGTAAACTTACCAGTACGTGATGTAGTAATACACCCGCAGCTACCATTCCAAGTCCAGCGGCGAAGAACGGAATTGCAATCTGAATAGCGGTAGCTCGACCTCCTTCTTCAAACTGCATCTCTTTTGTTTCTGCTTCGTCAATTGTTGTACGCCGTATCGTCTGACGTCCATTAAGCAGATTTATGTTGAGGGAGTGTTTTCTTAGCAGCGCGTTAGCATCTGGAACGAGTGAGTGCCGCCTGTAATAATAATAATAATAATGATCAGGTACCAGATCCAGAAGACACGTCATCACTGTGTACGTAAACTTACTTTCTGCAACAAAACTTCGCTCATGGCATACAGCTTATCGTAGTAGCGTACCAAGTATAAGGTTAATTTCACTCTACTTTAAAATCGGTTTCTGCTTGTTAGTTGTGTGCGTTGCGCTGGAGTGGTTATCGATAAATAGTCATCGGACTCGGCTAGCTCATTAGATAGAAAAACAAAACCTAATTAAAATTCTTTGATTGAGTTTATTTTTATCTTCCCTAGACTCAAAGGAAAGACTCTCCTCTACTATACCCAGTATACTATGAGAATTTTAGGCTAGATAGGACTCTACACAAATCCATACTAGCAAGTCCCAGTTTCGGCTCATTTTAAGTCACGTCAAAGAACGATACAAAAAGAATCGTGACATCGTTGGAAATTACGTGGTATCAGTAAAAGTTGTACTTCATATACAAACAATTTGACCGGGAATTCAATGAAACTTAGTGATAGTGATTCTGCTCGGAATCACAATCGGAATGATCATCACAAATCCTTCTATTCAAGTGAAGCGTAGTGGTATGAACAAACGGAAATAGTAGGTTCTACGCAAGTACGTTTAAGTTAAAAGTTATAAAGGTATTCATAAAAGCTAAAATTGTACAGTTTTCATAACTCTTGTTTAGAGCCGCGTTTACGCCTGTATTGAAGGGGGGGGGGGCGACAATCACAGATGCGTCAAAGCCCAAGAAGCACTTGGTACTGACCAATCTACAAAAAAATCAAGAAAAACATATATTTATAAGCCGCCTTGTATACTCAGACCAATGGTTGCAATGCCTGCAGAGGGATTTAAAGGGCTACTGAACTTGTTTTCTGCTCTTAGCAATGCTTTTTATTGTTATTTTCATGATATTATGCAAATCTTTTAGAGTGCTGGCTTTTTTCCTCAATGACCTTGATATCCATTCAGCATCCTAAATTGTTTTTAATTACCATCTCCTCAATATATGGGGTAATCGCGCTTGTAAACGTACACCAGGTATATGCATGAATGTTCTCTATAATCCTCTAAATTCTCACGTTCGCTGCGAGTATTCTCAGTTTGGATCGCTATTTCTCCGGTGGAATCTCAGACTCCTGCTGCTAATGGTACTATTACAGCTTAGGTGCCTCCAGGTCTAAGGCAAATGCCCAATAGGAAAACTGTTAAGTTCCATTATAAAAAGCGAAAAAAAACTGGCTGAACACTGAAGTAAAGCCAGCTCGATTGGCATAAAGAAGGGGAAATTTCGAACAAGGAAACACTAATATATATCTATATATATATATATATATATATATATATATATATATATATATACAACAAATGCAAAATGGAGGTTTTAAAACTGTTAAGAGGCGTTTTCAAGTTCAAATTGGATTTAGTCGGCTTGGAACAGCTGTATCAGAGTCAATGAATCGTTCTCGGCTAAGATTGTAGCGAATTGATTAAGTATGACCTCAACACCAAGGATGGTTTGGACGTCCTAGTCAGAAAATAACAACGATTAATAAAGGCGTAAATACCTGTCACGTACATGTTTTCGCTTTTTAAGAAATATCAGCTTTCAAATCCAGATGAGTTGCGATGCAGACAACGTCCATTGTTTTTTCTCTCTATTTTTTGTCGTATTTCTAGTTAAAAAAAATGTAGTAAAACTTCTCAACTGACCCATATAAATATTCGAACTCAAACAGAACGGAACAGTTAATTTATCATCTTTCTGATTTGACACAACAGGGGCGTATCTAACACACTTTTTTTACACTTTTCTAACACACAAATTGAAATTATCGGTAAGAATTATTGCCATCATCATAGAAATAAGTCAGAGAAGCAGATTAAGTCAATGACAGCACGTTGTGTTCTCTCAGGACGTTAGCACTAGTTGCTACCGGTCTTTTTGGCAGGCTTACAGAGAAAGCCTTCGTTACAGCTCCGCTCAATCTCTCAACCTGTTTACGAACAAACGAAACGTACTTCCGCACGTAAAAACAGCACTCTCATTTCGACTTCCAGTTGCAATCCAAGAAATGGATACACGTTCTTTCACACCCGAGGCAAAACAAGTAATCATAATTGCGCTATGATTTAGTTTTCGCATGGGAATTATTTATTATTGTTGTTGTTGTTGTTTTTTTTGTTGTTATTATTCAATGAAATATATTCAAGAGAGAACAGTCGTGCTTTAACTTATAAGGTACTGGCTTAATATCGATATCATGGTAGCAAACCAGACGAACATGTCTATAGGCTTTATTTCAGTGGGAGCATTATATATAATCGTGCAAACCATAGTAGATTTGTCCTAATGTAAGGACATATGTTTTTGGAGACATTTACCTTAAACTCATAGTAGTCCACAAACGTGTTTATTTCCATTAGATCAGAATATATACTTCACATATAACTAAGCCATGTTAATCTGGCGATCTGTGTTGATCATGCTGTCAGGACCCCTTCAGGTTTTTGCCATTACTGTTGTTGCCTTGGCCCCGAAATGATCTGTTTTGCAATGAGCTCTTTCCAGTATTTCGGATTAAGCCTTACAAACCCTCTCCGCAACCGTGCTTCCGCATTTTAGACACTAGATGACAAATAAACTTTATGTCGAAATGCATGACCATCTTCTTATGGCAAGTAAATCAAGGGTGTTTTATCGACTGTTTTTGCTGTAGATTCCGCAGCTACCACTTTGAATTCCTTTCTATTAAATTGTGCGTCAGAATCGGCAAACACACGGCAAGACTTTCGATGACACTAGTGAAAGGTCAAGAACACTACTCAAAACATTACTTTAAAACACCGCTACACTCAGTTCGCAATGGCGTGTGCCCAAAGTTCCACTTACAAGCTAACGATAACCTGGGGCGTTACGTTGCATAGTCGTTAAGCAGGCGTCGCGGAGCACTCGGGCAACCTTGGAAAAAAAGCTTTTTATTTGCGCTTAATTATCGGTCTCTACTCTCTCTCTATTTATTAGATCACCCCGGATATAAAGCATGAGCTATTACTACGGGGATTATCTAAGGGTAACTGGGTCCATTTCAGTCTTCTTTTGAAACCTACGAAGAGTAAGCTTACATCGTGTAGTGTCATCCCGGATGTTAACTACTACGTGCCATGTTTCTATCTACTGACTGTTGGTTATCCGGTCCGTTGCATCAGTGAGATACGGACCCACAGTGGCTGTGTCTCCTATGGACAAAAATACGAGCAAGGCGTGATGTTCGCAGCAGTAGTTATAACCAACGTCATTGCCTGCGTCCTATTGTTATAGTTATGGCCGTTGTCATTACCTTGCAAGTGTTGTTTCATGCGTGAGAGTCACTACTTTTTTCAGACAATCATGGTCGCCACCGCACCAAGTGGGATAAAAAGCCAAAAAAAAATTTGTTCACTCTTATCTCGAAATGAACTCATTCCAGGACTAGGCTGACGCTGTATACAGAATTTCACAGTAAGAACCTATTACAGCAGCGGTAACTCAGTTTACGAAAAGAACCAACCTGGCCATTCCTCGAATGCTAGCTTGTCGGACAACACACGGTTACGACACACAGCTTGTTCTGGCATTCCGTTGGTGTCTTTGAACAACAGAATTCACGTTCTGATCGTCTGGCTCTTTTGAAGGGCAGCTTAATACAGCTTTGCCTTGCAAACCTCCTACGTTCCCTCAACTACGTAAATCTGCGTTCCCTCAACTTGCTTTCTTTGTACAATCACGACTGGTGACTTTCAATAGCCTAAATATTGATTAGTGTTTTCAACACGTCATTTACATCAAACCATTGCTAGCCTACTGTTTTGCAGCCAGGAGAAAATGGACTTCTGTGGCAGGCAGGAACGAGTTCTCAACAACCATTCATTTCGCAGTTAATGCTCGCTTGTATGCTTGTTCTCACAATTTAATAAAAGATACTTATCAAAAAAAAGTTATTTTTATATATCAACCTATTTTAATCAGTAACTAAATAACCATTTTCTATAGACGTAAGATTTCACAAATAATTTTCCAATAAACTACTCAATCGCGTGTTCAGGCACGGACGCTTACAAAAGTCCCTAAAACAAATGTCTTTTGTACTTTTTCAATGCGAAGGCCCAGTTTTTTAGAAACTTAACAACCACACAAAACAGAGCAGAAATCATAAATTATTTTAAAATAAAGTCACTACAGAATATATTAATACGTATATTCATAAACGGGTTTATGTAAGGGTACTAATCTCGCTACTCGCTGTAGGGACTGGTTGGTATCACAAAAGAATAACCGGGCTAAATTGGAGCTCGATGGTTCCTTCCATCATTCATAAAGAGATATTTCCTGCGCTGCCAGCTGCTGTGTTCTAGACAAGCAGATTAAAAAAATGCATCAAAGTAACAAAGGTAACTATTGACATTAGAAAATTATGTTTTATAAAAGATTAGCCTACGTTTCACACACTTGGACTTTATGCAATAGGTAATTATAACCTTTGTAAAACCTTAAAATGTTGTAGATATGCATCTATGAGAAGTTATGAGAGAATTAAGAAACTTGAATTTTGGTTATAGTGGTTCTAGAGATGGTTTGAGTCAAACTATAAGGCTTTATGAGATTTGCTTTCTTTAATACTTGTGCGTTTTCCACATACTAAGCAAAACTAGGTAGAATGTATAAGTAGGGTGTCATTAGCACGTCCAACCTTTTTTGCAGCTTTGCCATATTTGTTTACGTTTAAACAAAATACGCGCTCTGCCTGCCTTTAAGTTTGGCTTGAATACATCTATCAACTAAAATGTTCTGCTTCTAAATGAAGTATAGCTTTGGATTAAAACGCTTTTACAGATAACATTTGTTTATTTCATTTCGTCAATTAAATTAAAAACAATCATGCCGAACGACAACAATGATGATGAATATCTGCTTAATATTCCCGATACTTCTCCTTCAAGCGAAAC